GGCGGGTGCTGGAGCTGGTCTTCTCCTACCTGGAGCTGCGGGAGCTGAGGAGCTGCGCGCTGGTCTGTAAGCTGTGGCACCGCGTCCTGCACGGCGACGAGAACAGCGAGGTGTGGCGCAGCTTGGCGGCCCGCTGCCTGGCGGAGGAGGCCCTGCGCACCGACATCCTCTGTAACGTGCCCACCTACAAGGGCAAGGTGAGCCCGGGACCCCCCCAGCCCCCCGGGGACGCCCCCCTAGCCGCTGGGTCCACCCGCCATTGGAAGCCAAGGGGGAGGCCTGAAAAACATGACAGGATTTTATCTCCCTCCACCCTCCTTCCTCTCCTCCCCTAGGTCCGTGCCTTCCACCACGCCTTCAGCACCAACGACTGCTCACGGAATGTCTACATCAAGAAGAACGGCTTCACGCTGCACCGCAACCCCATCGCCCAGAGCACAGACGGGGCGCGGACCAAGATCGGCTTCAGCGAGGGCCGCCATGCCTGGGAGGTGTGGTGGGAGGGCCCGCTGGGCACCGTGGCCGTCATCGGCATCGCCACGAAGCGGGCGGCCATGCAGTGCCAGGGTTACGTGGCCTTGCTGGGGAGCGATGACCAGAGTTGGGGCTGGAACCTGGTGGACAATAACTTGCTGCATAATGGGGAGGTGAACGGCAGTTTCCCCCAGTGCAATAATGCGCCCAAATACCAGGTGAGTGGGGCTTGGCGCGGGCTGGAAGCTCCACCGTGTCTGATGGCGGCTGGCCATCAAGAACCTCCTCCCTCGTGTGTCCTAGCTGTCTGCCAAATTGGCCCTAAATGCCCACCTAAGAGTCTCTTTGCCTTCCCTGCAGAAGGCAAATGATTCCACCTTGTGAGCCTTTTCCCCCTTTATCTACTGGTTCCTCAGGCTACACCCGTGGGTGGTGTTCAATGCATCTGACCCTCAGTTGTTTCCCCGCTTTTATTTCAAATATTGAGTGCGAAGCATGTTCCATGGGTGTCTGTTTAGACACCATGTTACTTTTTGAAATAAAAGCCAAAAAGACTGGTGTAGCCTTCTGAAGTCACGACTTGCCCCACAGCAAGGTGAACGTCTGTGGTATTTTACCCCTTTGTTGTACGGCAGGGTGAGCTGAGATTAGTGCTTAGGTAAGAGTCTTCCTGCAAAAACCTGCAGCAGTGCTGAGTGCTGCTTGTTGGCTCACTGGCAGCGTTCCCATAGGTGACATCCCTTGGCTGGGATGCTGGGACATTCAGATAATTTCAGGTTATTGAAGAGCAAGTGCCATTCCACCTTTTTGTCCCTATTGAAGTGTTTATCTTTGTTCTTCTGGCTGCTCACACAACTACATTTTGACTGCTGGATTTCCTCGCGTTACAACTTAAGCTGTATGCGTTATAATTTCCATCTCATAGTGCTGTGGCTTTGTACGAGTATCGGTTTATGTTTCAGTTGTAGGTGAAGATCTGTGTATTAACTTGTATCTGATATTCCTAAATTTCATGTAAAAGTTCACCACCAAGCACTTTAATTCTGTCTGAAGGTTATACCTGCCATTTTTGGGAATAATACCTAAAATAAGTGTAATTAAAGAGATTTAGATCTCTTTCTGTTTGCATGTTCCCTAGCATGTAAATTGGGTTGGCATGTTCCAGACTCGAGCCTTTGTGGTCGCTTTCTGCTGTCCTTGTCTAGGCCTTTCTGCAGCAACAGGGTGAGGAAAGGTTTTGAAGCCAAGAGTCCCCAGCTTGTGTGGGGTCTCGAGGGTGAACGCCATTGCTGCTTTCTCTATAAAAAAGTGTTGAGAGCTCAAATCGGTGATCCTTTGGAGTATTTTGTCTTTAGTAAGACAGGTACAGTGATCTGCTCATAGAAAATGTACTTCAAGGAAACACATGTGTTTGTTAGTGTTGGTTAGAAGAAAAATGTTTTGGCTGGAAGAAATCCACAGCATTGGGGCTGGCTGGTAAAGAATCGGAAGTTTGTGTGGCATCCTGCTGTGCTTGCTACTGGTGTCTGGGACTTCTACTTATGTCTAAAATAATGTCCACTAGATAAATGCAGGGAGCACCATGCATGCCTGGATCCGAGTCTCTTGCTGTGTTCAGTGTTGGTTTCACTTGTGTGTGTGTGTATATATGTGTGTATATATATATATGGTTTTTCACGCTTATTTTGCCTAAGCTTTGCACTGGCATTTCCTTCTACATTGGTGAGGGAATACCTCTGTCAGTGACAGTACCTGCATAGCAGTGTATTTTGGTATATTTTATATGTGGCACTTACTGTTCTAAAACAAGTTCATTGTCTTTAAAATTGCTCTTCGCAGAGCGATAGCAACAGCTAAATACAGAGTTCGGTAGCTTGGAGGCCATTACAAAGTTTCCAACACTGCAGTCTTCTGAAGCACGTGGCATGTGGTATGCTCACTCTTGGTGCTCTCTCAAGGTTCATATGAGAAGGGTTACGTTTGTTATTGTGTAGGTGGTTAGATACAGGCTGCCCACTGGAAGCGGGCAGCAGAGGTACTTGGGATCCTAGTGCATTTGAGCAAAATTGAGAAATTCCCATCACAAAAGTAATGCAATCATGAGAAACAGGAAAGCCTTGCTTTAAAATTACCTGCCCCGTTATACGTGGGCTATGCTTGATTTTTGTGTCTCCATTTGAATATGCTGACTCTTTCTATGTATTTTTTTTTTTATTCCCCGCTCCTGTCTCTGTTTCCAGATAGGTGAAAGGATTCGAGTTATCCTGGACATGGAAGACAAAACATTAGCATTTGAGAGGGGCTATGAGTTCTTGGGAGTTGCCTTCAGAGGACTGCCAAAAGTTTGCCTGTATCCAGCAGTGTCTGCTGTGTACGGTAACACAGAAGTGACTTTGGTCTACCTGGGAAAACCTCTGGATGGATGATGTGGATTGTTTCCTTGGGACATCGAGATGTGGATGACTGGGAGGAGAAATCTGCATGTTGGTTAGAGGGAAACGTGTATTAGAGGAAAAACAAAAAAGTGTGGGTGTGTGTCCAAGAACCATCGAGGGAGTCACACGGAGTTTTGAAATGGAGGACCAGCCATACTTCAGGAATTGTGTTACATTTCCTCTTTCTACCAGGCCAGAAAAATCCTCAGGGTTGCAGTTGGTTGAGTGGGAAGCTGACACATGCATGTTGCAACAGATTTCATTGCTAAGATGGCAGTGTGTGACCTCAAATATTTAAGAAAGGATTTGATACAAAACTGCTTGAAATTAACCTGAGATTTATAAGTAGCGTGTTTTGTGAAAGACTCCCATTTTAAAACTGCTTGTTCCTTCCCTTCCCTCCTTTGGGCCAACACGGGTACCGGAGGAGAGCGAGTCTGGTTGGGTTTTATTTACAATTTTTAACATACAGAGAAGCATGGTCTGTCTGGACTGCCCTTCTCTAGTATAATGAAACAAAACGTGTGCAGCTATTTTTAAGTGTATTTTAAGGGTTGTATATATAGAACACGTTGAAAAGAACAGGTAAGAGAAAGGGTTTGCTTTATTCTAACTGGGACATAATTTCTTAAAGGGAAAAAAAACCCCACCACGTGGCATCAGAAAATATACCTTGGACAGGTAACATTCATGTAAGTGTACTTCTTCTGTTGTATCGTAAAGCATTTTGGGATGCTCTTGTGGAGTACGGTGCTACATTGGGTCATTTTCTGTGAAAGTTTCCATAGCTTTAGCAACAGTTTTGTTCTCTGTAGGAAATGCAAAATGTTTTCCCCATGAGTTTCCTTTTGCCAAAATTTGTGGTCCCCTTTAGGAAAGGAAGGCACAACACGGCTTGTCTTCCTTTTGACATCAAAAATACAAACTTTTAAAGCATTCTTAGACTTGCTAATCACTGTTGCAAAATGTTTCAAAATGATGAGGAAGGAGCATTCAGTTTCTGAATCCAGACCTTGTTTTCAGCTTAAATGGCTTTATAAGGCTTTAAGACTTGGCTGAACCTTTCTTTAATTAAATAAAATCCCCCAGTACGCAAGTATTCACCTGCTTGTTTTCAGTCAGGATGAGTAAAACTCTCAGCAGCCCTTTGATGGGGATTCTGGATCAGGTTCGATGTTCGGGCTTTTCACTTGCACCGGTTTTCTAAAAACCATGTACTACCCCCCGGTGTGTTGGCGTGCTGGCATACGCAGGCTGGGACGGCTGTGAAGCTGAGGGGTGTGGTAAGGAGGGACTTGCTGCTGAAACTGCTTTCCTCTGAGGTTGAAAGGTCTGTAGGGAGCCCCAGAAGGGCTCCTTTTAGTAGGGCATTAAAATCTGTAAGCCCTGTGGCTAGCTCTTGACTCTCGTTTCTTGTTTGTTGGTGTTTTCCAGAGCTGTCCGAACTATTTCAGAGCGGGCATGCTCTTCAGAGAGGGAAAAGGAAATGTTTGTACAACCTTTTTTTGCTTTATTTGTGCTAGAGAATGTGAATTGCTTAATATTGGACACTGGCAATTCTCTGAGCAGAGAAGAGAGAGGAATTCCTCTTAGGCTGTTCCTTGTTTCCTCCCCCCATTACTCGAGTGATGCGAGGAGACCGGTGCAAGCAGGTGAGTGAGGCTCCTAGTCTGCTGCTGAAGAGCTGTCCTTGGAGTGCTTTTTACCTAGTAGATAACCAAGTTCTGCACTGGAACAGAGTATGTACGTTGTTACCATTTAAAAGCATTTTAAAGTATTTATTTGTTTTGTGTGTTGTTTATTGCTTAAAGGCAATATTGAGGTCTGTTCCTCTTGGCTGCGTTAAAGAAACAAAATACACAGTGAGAAATGAAGGTGTTTTAAGTGGTGCTGAGAACAACCGAATAAATGAAGTGGGATGGGCATATGAGTACCTTTTGGAAAAATCTGTTACAAGCATTGATTGTACTAGACTGTAAAGTATGTATCTGCATAGCAGAACCGTGGGGCATGGAGTGGGGGAAAAAAGGAAACAAAACCCTGTCCAATTTCAGAAAATAAAATTGTCCCTGAGATGAATGTATTCTCAGTGCAGTTCTGAAAGACATGACCTCTGCACTTGGTCATGAATCCAATTAGATGCAAGTAAACCCTGAGAACTTCCGAGGAGTTTTATTCACAAATTAAGATTGATTTCCATTCTTCAGACTGCGTCTTACCCTATAAATAATTTCCCTCTAAATTAGAAATGCTGAAAGTTGAACATTCCTTAAGGGTGGGTTTGGGGGGGACTCACTTATGTAAGATTATAACTTATTCCTGGAGACCAATGCTGGCTGTACAAAATATTAAAATAAACTCTGCTATAATTCAGAAGGATATATTGGTGTGGATTGTTGTAATGGCATCTGTGGTGTGGTGGTAGGAAAAATGGAGTAGCAGTTCAGTGCATGAAGAAGGTGGAGGTGTTGGGGCTCTCTGATTTACTGCGTGACTGCTTGAAAAGAGAGAATCTGATGAGTGGTTAACGAGGACTTGAAAACTCAGTGGTCTAATAGCTGTGCTTGGCAAGTTGCATCCTCTGAAACAGGGATGCTCGCATGTGACAGTGTGGGAAAAGGTTTTCCTGACCGCTGGAGGCTTCTTGGTTCATACCGAGGTGACGTGCTCGCTGCTGCGGCTGCCCTGCCGCTGTACCAAGGTGCCTCCTCCCCAGGTCAGCTCCTTGGCTTCTCTCTGTCTTTAGCTTTCCTTATGGAAGTTCACTATTTCGTGGTGCTTTTAGGAAGAAGGGGGTGATTTTTAGGGAGAAGTAGGAGACTGTGTTGTGGCTGTGAGCTCTTGAGGCACTTTCCAAACTCTGAATCAAGAATTTGCTTTTAAGCAGTGAACTTTTGGCTAACATCTCTGTGAGCTTCTTCAGGAGTGAAGAGGTTTGATGCTGGCTCCCCAAAAATGTAGAATCGCTTTTTCTAGCCTGAGGTACTTCAGAGTTGACTAAACAGGTGTTTGAAGTATTTTCCCTACCCTGACTAGTGATTTAACTGGATTTAACTTTGGTCAGGAGGAACATCAAATGTTCAGAGCTCTCATAACAGAAATCAGTCAAATTCACAGGTCTTGGCTTCAGAATCCTGCAGGACATCCAGAATTGTTCGATAAGTAAGCATTTTTTGTTAGAAAACTGAGAATTTCGCCTGATTCTAAGTGTGCTGTGAAATTTGTTGGGAGCTTAGCAGTTGGTCATCTGATCTGGTCACGCTTCTACATCTGAGGAAGCGAAGAGCCCAATGTGGCCATTTATTTCGGAGCAGAGTCCGTTTGTAACTTTGGTGGTGGCTCATTGTGTTGGCCTGAAGTCAATTGTGTGACTTCTTTTTCCGTAAGAGGACAAAAGTGTTGCTGCAATGAACTAATAAATCAAGATGGCATGGGAAACTCACCCTGGTAGGGATATTTTCTTGAAAACATCTTTTTCCCCATTTAAAATGCAGTGGTGAGTGTGCATTTTTGGGAGTCCTATGTGTGTCTTCTACTAGCAAACGCCATTTGGTTTTGTTACTTTTGGCCATGTTTCAGGTGACAAAACTAGCCAGGAGCAGATGGCCTTGATCCCGTGGACTGACCTTCTGCTGCCTTGCATGTAGCTGGACTCTTCTCTGCCTGCCTCTGAATCTGATCGCAAGCTGGAACATACTAGCTTTTCTCTCCGCTTACTGATGATCTGCATTTTTAAATTTCCTTAACACATGGGTGTGTTTTGCAGATGGCTGCCTCTATTTTTTTCCTCTTCCCTTTTTCACTGGGATGATGACAGCAGTGATGAATTAAAATAATGCTAGGCCTGATCATACAAAACTTATTTTCTCTAAGTATTTGAGAGGTAACCAGCCCTCAGTGATTCCTGAACCTGTGTATTTCAATACCGATATTTCAGTTCCAGCTAAATCTTTACACGTTATAAATAGCTCTGGACGCTGGCAGGAACGCAGCTCTATATGTGCTGCCATTCTCCAGAACAGTGCTGGTTCTTGTATGATACAGATAATTTGGTGAAATCTGTAGCCAGAAAATGGCATTATTGACATCTGCTCTAGGATCCCTTCTACAATTACAAAACAGTTTTTTAAATGGTTAGGAGTGGGGTGTGTTTGATATCTATACGTGATAGTAGTCCACCTTGCACTAAGGTATAATTTGGTTGAAAGGAAAATTAATTAAGTGGTAAATGAACAGAGAAAGCTTTTCCTGCAGTGATGCTGAACCTGCTAATTTATAGTATAAGCAGCTTTTTTCATACTCCTGTATGATGCTGTACGTGTCGTGTGACTTCTGAATGAATTGTCGCACCTCCCCACAAGAGGGCAAAGTTAACAGTGCTGTGGGAGCCTAGACTTTGCATTTCCTAAGTGTTGTGCAAAATAAATGTTTAATGTGGAACCTTCTCCGTTCGCATTTGCTTCCTGGCCTCTTAAAAAACCAAAACAAACCAAAAAACCTCAACAAAACAGATGATCATGGAGAAGTGGATAATAGAAATAGAATTTTTGAAATACACTTCTTCATTTGAATCCTTGATCCTGAAATTAGGCTGAGCAAATCTTTGCAGTTTAGAAAATTATTTTCAGTGAGAGCACACTGAACTGAGACTCCAAGACCATCTTAAAAGACACAAAGGGATTTGAGAGGCTCAAACAAAATGTCACCATTGCCACTGAAGGTCTGCTTTTTCCCAAGCTTGTTTTTCTTCCTCTCAGGTGTTTATGACCAGGAAATAGTGATATCATCAAAAGATTATTGAAAGAAAAAAATTCCGTTGCAGTTGAAAAAAAACACAAAATCATTGAAAAGAAATTTTGAAGAAAAACTTGCTGTATATTGCAAGTGTTCTTTATTCTGCAATTTTACAAGCTCAACAAACAAGGGTGTCGTCTTCCTTCTGTGCCTGCATTTGCAGATTTGTTGTGAGCTAGCTGAGTTGTTTCATGTTTGCTTGATTTGTTTTGTCTTTTTAGTCCATATTGTTCTACTTATGTTAGAAGCTATATATTTACCTGCAGGCAATGTTTGAATGGGGAAATGTATGAAGGTGTAACCTTGCCTGTTCTTGTCTGTTGTGTAGTGTCTGATCTTCTTGTGAGCTCCCAGTTTCTGCAGCTTTGGTAGTTTTATCCAGAAACAGCAGGAGCGTTACCATGCGTGTAAACGAGTGACCATCCTGGGACATGTCACCTTTATATATCTACAGTGTGTTACTGCTCAGGATGGACACTATGTCTCCAAATATTTTACTGTATGTTTTGCAAAGTGATTTTTCTTTTTTTGTACTTTCTTGAACTTCTGATTTCAGGTTGTGAACCTGCTCTCTTTTGCACAGTGCAGTCTCTGCATCTTCAGAGGCATGCTCCAAAGCCAGGGACAGATGTGAAAACAGCTGTTTTACAACAGTGTGTGTGCTACAGCTACAAAATGCCATTCTCTTGCAAAT